GTCGAGGTCCAGGCTCTACAAAAGTCTTGGATCAAGTCTAGCTGAACGCATTGATTGGTCCGCGTGGATGTACTAGATTAAGAACTAGTCAATTAGCAAGAGGATGCGGAGTACAGAGTACGGAATACTACAGAATTTCCCCTGGTTACGAATGAAATGCACAAACAAATTCCTGAAGATGAGCGGTGGCGAAAATCTGTTATGCTTTGTAGATCGATTCAATCCTGGTCTGTGTTGGAATATGGACCGGGGGGGACATCATGGGGAAGCTATGACGGAGGCGAAAAAAAAAGAGCAGGGAATAAGGCAATCCTCAAAAGTCAATAATTAACTCGGAAAATATAATGCTAATACAACATACGGAGTAGGTCCGAGCCAAATAATAATAGCGGCAAACGCGCTTTGCGCGAAAGGGGGGATGTGCGGTTGCAGCGGGAACCCCAGATAGTATGGAGTCTGTGGAGCCTCTAAAAAGGGTATTTTGGGAGATTTTAGGAGATTTTTGACCTGGTGATCGAGGGTATGACAGCTTTTTGAATCTATTTATTTTTTTTGATGCTTGGATTGGTGTCGATGTCCGATGCAATAACATTGTTCGCCCAACGTCAAGCCATAGAAAAGCGAAGGTCCTGTAGGAATACTGGTGTCTTTGAATCAGGACTGATGTGACGATGGAGACCAGACCCGTTGGAGAAATAAAAAGAAGAAAAAAAGCCCCTTGATATTCACCCCACACGAGGGGGGTATAATGGGTATGACTATGATACGTCAGAACTAAATCCATGTGCCCATCTAGCTCGGATGTGATGTGCAACTGAACTAGATCGGGCCCCCGGCCCATCTCCGGGCCAGTCAGATCCAATATGTCAACACTACTAAACTGGAGCCGTCTAACAGCCAGCTGAAGCCGGACCTGACTCAGATCAAACATCCGGTACTCTCGGACTTTGGGTACTTACAGAAAATAATTGACAAGTACCTTAGATTCAACTAGTTGTCTCTCCGACGATATCCGGAGCCCAATTGTTCGGGCGAGTCTTGTTTTGTCCCCGAGTCGGCAAGCCCTGACGGTTCATGGGGCCGCGCGCACGGACGGTATAAACGAGCTTGACGATTGTTCGAAGCTAAAGACAGACATACTGTGCCTAGATCGTGGGGGCCCTGCACAGTATGGGGTCCGCCGAGAAACTATGGAGACTATCCATTTCCAAGCGCTATTCTTTAGTAAAGAGAGATTAACAACCAGTTAGAGACTCTGTATACTTGTCATCTTCTCCACTGATACACACTCGGGAGCTGATTTTGTGCACAGCCCTGAATGTCAGTTTGAACTTTTTGAAAATAAATAAATCAAAAAGAAATATAATTTTGAAAAAAAAAATAAAAAAAGGTCTGAGATCATGTGGCTGGCAGTACTCCCCGGCGAACTCTGACCTTTTTTTTTTTTGCGGGGAATCCCTGGGCGTATCACAGCAGTTCCGCAGGCACAACCTTCGCTGAATGAGGAATGTGGAATGCAGCTGCCATACCTTTGAGCTATCCTTTTTTTTTTTTTGGGACTGGGACTAGTGATGCTGACTTAAATTATCGTCTGGTGATCTTCTTTGCCTGCTCCGAGGGTGACTTCATAGCCCATCTTAAAATCATATTTATATCGTCTAGTTCAGTTCATAGTCCATCATGTTCACATTTTACTTTCCTTTTATCTTCATTTGACATTGAGCGTTCTTGATTGGTCTTTTAATTTCCAAAAGAAAAAAAAAAGTATGACAACCTTCTCACTAGTTGCGATTCCAATCTTCGTCTTTCTTTTCGCAGTTAGACACCAAAAACAACTGCTCCAATGGTTGTCACAAAAGTTGAAAGGGAAGCATTGCTCAAATGTGTCGAATCCATCCGACATTAAGCGTATGGCACCGTACCCAGCGCAGCCCATCAAAGGCAGAGAGTGTTACCGGGTAATGATGGACATTCGCAAACTCGACGCCCAGAATTGGCTCACCCTCGACAAAAACTATATGGACGAACACCGGGTGCGGACCCAATTGCTTCAAGAGAAAAGAGAAGAGGTCCTGCGATGTCTGCCAGAGTCAATTGAACCGTGCCAGGAGGCATTGGAAGAAGTTTCAGACTTTCTCTGCGAGAGGTTCCCCAATATGTTCGAAATGACAATTCAAGACGGTCGAAAGATCGTCGACAATCGCATGACTGGCGACAAATTCACCGTCAGCGGACGTGACTCCAACGAGGGTTCAACAGAGGCACTCGAGGCTGCCGTCCGTCTCACGATGGAGGATCTCAGTATTTTGATGATGAACGAGGAAGGGGAATTTTACCTGTATGTCCACGTCCACGCATAAAAGCCAACTGGCCAATTCTAACACCAACACAGGGCAGCTAGCGCCAGCCTTTTCCCAACGGGGTGGACAGTGAACCAGAGAATTGGCTGGACCATCTCTCAATTGCATGGCCCCGTGCCACTGTGGCACCAACAAGTAGCCAACTCCGTCAGCAAGTAAGTGATTTCCAAATCAGACAGGCAGAACGGCCGAGACCAACACAGAAAAAATCAATAAACTAACTCCAATCCCCAGATTCCTTGCCCGCTTAACCCCAAAATCTCCAATGGAACGCTCAAACTACTTCGTGGAAGTCAAAGGACCAGACGAAAACCTGACTGAGATTCTCTACCGGCCCAACTCCCTCTGTGAGAAAGAACTGAGGAGCCCATTTCCGTCAGATATCTTGATCCGCCGCGAGAGACAGACTTTCCGTCGACTGCCGCGGACAGGGGCGATCGTCTTCGGCGTCAAGACGTATCTCACGCCGCTGGATGAGCTTCCAATGACCGAGCTAGATAATCTGGCCAAGGAGATGAAGAGTTGGCCTGATCATGTGGGTGAATATAAGGGGAGGGATGTTTGGGGGGCTAAGGTTCTGGAATACTATCGGAACCGGGTTGGTGAGGGTGAAAGGACGGGGAATGAGGATAAGGAGAAAGACCAGAGAATTGAGGTTTGAGGGGACTTTGTAGGATAGCTTGTTTTTCTTTGCTTCGCATTTTGGCTATGGGAGATCAAAACTGGGTCGGCTTTTTGTTTAACAACGCAAAAGTTGTTTTGTTTTCTTTTGACAATTTTCTACTTCTCACGTTTTTGAGGTTGGTTTGTTAACTGGGAAGACTCTTGACTTCGGGGCGAAGACAAGAGACAAGTATGTAATAAGGCTTCCAGATATCTGTTATTGAATTATAACATGCTCCTGCAGTGGTTATAGCTAATGGCCAGCCTCAGTACAAAGCAAAATCAAGGAAATGGAGGGGACTAAGCCCAATTCTATAAATGAAGATATGTGAAAAGAATGGAAGAATAGGGTCACGCTGACAGGGGAGAGATAACTCCTTCAAGGTATGGGTATATCACAATCTCTTTAAATCTTCGACAGTGGCGGCTTGTCTTGCTTTAATCGCACGACACCCTATAATCAAGTTAGCGCTGATCTCCGGAATAGAAAAACAAACACATACCTCTTGCATGCAAGTAGCAATAAGAACCCCTTCCTTAGACCAAATCTTCTGAATTGCCAGGCCTCGTCCTTCGCCGGCCCACGGACTCTCCATCTCCGTCAACATCCACTCATCGGCACGGAATGCCCTGGGGTTGTGGAAGTAGATAGAGTGGTCCAGGCTGACCATCATACCAACCTCTTTATGGTCTACCTCCTTTTTGCCCAAAGTGGCCCTGTTCAAGGCCCCTTCCACACGGCGACGCAACTCTGCAGCCTCCTCTTCCTTCAACTCCTTCAGAGCTCGCGTGATATCCTCATCGTCGAGATCAGATGGGTTTTTGAGCGTGTTCAGAAGCTTCTCGAGTTCGGCTGGGGAAGAGAACCGCGGGATATCATGGACAAGTGCGATGGTACCAATGAAATAGCTATCGGTGATATACGCAAGCGCCGACAGGTGTGCTTGGTACCCACCCTGTTCGGAGATTGCGCCGCGGGCGCGAATATAACGTCGGACCTTTTTATCTTCTTGATTGGGGGATGGGCCTGTTTGATTGCGACGGCCAATTAGTCCAATGAGCACAGCATGGAGCTTCCGACCAGGGAGACGTACGGTTCAAAATTCCCGCCTTCCTTGATTCAAACGGACCGCCGCCCGCATTGCTGAGGGCTTTCAAACTTCCCGGTTCAGCATCTTCTGGCAATGGGACCTCTGGCTTGGATACGGCGTGGTGAACCGTCTTATCGCCACCACTACCGACCCGGCTAAAGCTTAGTGTGGTGGTGAAGATTGGCCGTCCCCGTTGCCGCGCCTGCACGGTTCGGGTCACAAAGCTCCTCCCATCGCGTACGCGCTCGACGTGGTACAGAATTGGGATCTCCGAGTCGCCGGCAAGCACGAAGTAGCAGTGCATGCTGTGGACGGCATAGTCGGCGGGGACGGTCAACATGGCGGCTGATAGGGACTGCGCGATCGCGGCACCGCCGTAAATGCCTCGAGCTCCGGGAGGGTGCCATAGCGGGCGGGTATTGGTGAAGACATCCTAGGGACAACAGTGTTGTGTTAGAATATGGCCTTTGTCGCGACAGAAGAATTGAGGGATGGCATACTGGGCCGAGGTCCACCACTGGCGTCAGATCGAGTACATTTTCGATAAGAGCCTTGGAATGATCTTGCGCGGGCGGATCAAAAATCGTCACGCGTTTCGACATTGTAAATTGTATTCGAGAGAGATCAGAATCGGGATGGTAAATTAATTTCAGGGATGACGGTGGTTCCCTTGGACTTTAAATCCGCTCGGCGCGAAAAACAGCCGAGGTCCAAGGGATTTCTCATCTACACGCAGCCCGGGGCTTACTCCATACTACACATATTGTACACATTGTGCGCAAAGATACACGTGCAATAATACATTATTCAATCAAATTTCACATTCAGTTACTTGTACACTTTCTCTTCATAGTCATATCCGATATTTCCTACGCTGTAACGCGCTTCAAACAGTCAAATTATTCCAGTCCTTGTGCACTGTCTCATCCTCAGGTAAATCGAAGCGATAAGTGTTCCGCACAAGTTCAGGCGATGGCGCATTCATATTCCGTTCCCCCAACAAGCGAAGCAACTGGCGACGTTGCATCTCTTCGTCGGTGAGTAGCGGCGTGCCTTCCTCCGCTCGGTGACGGCCATACTCTCGATATATCAAGATCCCCGCGAGAGCGTAACACACCGAGAAAGCAGCGGGTAGGCAGATATTTACGATCAGCAAAGTGTTCATCTGCAGGCTTCGTCCGTGGATGTGGAACAGTATATTCAGGAGTGCGAGCAGATTCATCGTTGAGTATGGGCTGCAATTGTTAGCCGATGGCCAATATAAAAAGACCCAGCTTTCATTCTCACTTACATAAAGATTGAGTTGAGGAGGAATATCATTCGGTGGCGCTGGGCGAAAGAAATCAGGGCTGATACACCATAAGACGCACTAACAAACACGAATGCAGTAACAGTAGATACTGTAGCATTGATTCGCAACTCATGGGGAGGGGAGCCAACGACCACAGCCAGCATCATATACCTACCCACAGAAAATCTATAGTCAGAGACCTCTAGTTCCCAAGTCGCTCACATCTCGTGATATCAAACTCACCCGATCAGCTGCAAAGCCGCAAAGCAGGCTGCTGCCACCTTCCATAGCAATGAGATATCGCTAACACCAGTCCGGGGCAATTTATGTCCAGAGATAGTCCAAATCGCCTCGCATGGAGAAGCCAGCATACTTGCGACCATGCCAAGCACAAAATCAAACCAACAAATTGTGGTAGCAGAGATGCAGTAACCGAATAGGCAAGCAAAAACAAAACAAAATACAACCAACGAGTATCAAGAAGCTGTCTCTACCTTGGATGAGACAAGTAGTCAAACGAATAAGTTCAAGAGATGAGGTTGGATTCAGACCTGCAGCCAAGGTCTGTGACCCCTCCCAGAGACTCACTTATGTGAACTGGCCTGCAGAACTAGCCGCGATGATCTGACATCCCGGTCGCACAAATGTTCACATAAATATGTTTCATGAGATATGATTCCGAAGGTCACGGATGCCAGATTACCCATAATTAAAAGGTATTCCCAGGTGCTGTTAGGTGGCCTGCACCTACCAGGTAGTATGTACTTCGTATTATATGCTTGTCGGCGTTTCGGGCTCAAATAATGTTGACATACTGATCCATCATCCTATTCAGACATAATTAGTACCGATCCCTCGTTATGCAGGTACCCGTGGCCTGTCACTACCCTTGATGTATTATGCACAAACCCTATGCCCCTGTTGGTCCTGTGGTTTGATAGGTACGGTGGCATTATAAAAACAAGGAAAAGAAATGGGTTTATGAGAAAACGAATGGCTACCTACGAGCATGGCTATATATATGGGAACCAGATCTGCAAGAAGTGCTCGCAATAGAGAAACGTACTGTATTGATTCCTATCGATGAGAATGGGCGAAGAGGAAAATGGGGGGGGAGAGAGAGAGAGGAAGAATCTGATGGAGCTGTCTAGGTGGGATGTTGATGCTTAGACATAAAGGCATCCAACACTATAACTAACCGGTCGGCACTAGAAGAACAGGCTGAACAGCTATACTATCACGTAGGACAAGCTCTTGGCAGGTATACCGAGGTCTATCTGGCTTACATATTCTTTAGTATGAAACCATAATTCCATCTAGCTTGTATGCGTCAAATGCTCCAATGAGTTGTAAATACCGATCAAAAGGCATAATCTAACATATATGAACCTTTTCCAAGGTCAACAAGCGTCTCATGGCATCAAATCAACGTACCCCAACAATGCCATCATCTAAGAAAGCTACCCAGGCAGGTAAAAGTAATGGTATCAACTCAATTGGGCTCCCAAGGCTTTTGTTAGTCCGCTATACTTTGCAAACTTTTGATTTTCTACCACCACTACCTGAATCAATACAAAATCTTTGAATCCAGCCCATATCCTTGCCCATACCCTTTTTCTATAGCTCGCAACAGTCAAAGTATTAAAAATAGAAAATAAAAAACCACATTTCAGCCAAAGCCGTTGTCCAAAAACATATTCAGTCTCAATACGGAGTAGATACGGCAAGATAGAAACGAAATATGTCTCAGAGTTGCGCGACCTGATTTGTGAGCATTATCAACCTACCCTCCGAGGTTAATTATATAACAGCACTAAAGAGCACTAAAGTGAGCCGTCTATATAACTCATGTGACAGTTCCCGCGCTGCCAACTTGTACTATAGTCAGCCCGTAAGCAGATGTCAACAGTGTCTCAGGTTTAGATCGGAGTTCCGATAGCAGCCAGACGAGAAATCTCTATAATCGTTATGTTGAGGCTTGGCGTTAATCGGGAGAGAGATATGTGGAGAGATAAATTACAAGCCTGATGTCTCGGTGTCTACATGACTTGGCGGCTGTTGGGGCGTATTTCAATCAGGGCTCTGGAGCCCGAATCAAGTGACATGATTCATGGGGAAAATATACTAATTAGATAGCTAGGCTCAATTTGGATAGTATATGCATATTTAGATCAGTCCTAGAAGGTTCGGTAGTGCTGACATATGCTGACAGGCAATACAAAATAACGCTAAATAACGCTAAAATGAACACTGCAGGTTTAACATTTTCTTACGGACTGTTGAGCCGACGGCTTGAAAGCGAGTCCTTTAGCCCCATTTCCAGTTTCGAGTTCTGACCAGTGGATCTGCTTGGCTTTGGCCTTGGGGCATTGCAATAAATAATAGGCCCCAATAACCTTCAGTCTAAAAGTCTCGCCCCACAATCATCTTGATAATCTATGCTTTAATTTAAACAACTCAAACAAGCGGTTTTCGAGTTTTGTGGCTTGTGCTCCGCTAAATCTCCCTATCTCGGAAATTTAACGAGCTGCCCCAGTTTCAGTCTTACAGTCCGCTTGCCACGATTTCTCGGAGCACCCCCGAAAAAGTATCCTAAGGTGGAAGGAAGTATTGTATGTCTCATACTTTGCAGTGGTTTCCTGCGGGTGATTTTCCGGGACGCCCAAATTCTGACTTTGAGCATCGTCGCTTATTTGTCCGAGAAAGCGTGTACAAAGTTGAGACAGTGTAGACTCTATCTATATTGTGAGATACGGCCAGCTCGGGTATAATGAGGCCAGCGTAGTCCCTCCATTTTAGGGTACTTCTTCCCATTCACTTCGACTCAATAAGTGAAGGTTGAGGCTCTCGTTGAGCCTAAATCAAACGGCTATAGTTCAAAAAGAAGAAGAAAAAAAAAATCAAAGTCATTAGTTATACCGGGTTTCAATCTAGACTGGACCCCGAAATCAAGCAATGGCTGGATTTCATCTATACCATCCCACCGGAGTAAAACTACTGCACGCTAACTTCCAAGATCAGGACGAAAACCGAGAAAAAAAATGAAGTCTCTAATGCTCTGTCACAATCTCATAATCTCACAAATCCATAATGTGACCGAATCCCTGTCTAGTCTAGCCATTTCTGCACGCCAAGACATGACGGTAGCCCTTCGTGGATACCTCAAGCACTGACAGCAAACAATACCTACCACGGACAGCATAGGAAAAGTGGCAATAACCAATGCAGTAAGCATGGCAAGCCCTTTGAAAGAACTTTGTCATGATTATGAGACACATGAGCGGAATTAGGGGCTTCAGTCCAGGAGCGCAGCCACCCTCGACCTCGAGGTATAAAAGCAAGCTTGCCCCAGGTCTAGAGGTATATCCAGAACACCTCAGACAATCCTAGTTCCCCATCTAGCAAAAACTTCATCTTCAAGATGCTCATCTCCGCCGGAATCAAAGCAGTCCTCCTGCTAGCAGCATCCGTTCCCGCGCAAGCATGGAACAGACTGGACAAGGACAACGCAGTGAGTCGCACCTTCCCCAAAACATCATTGAATGAACCTAAAGAAGAAGAAATACAAACTAACAACCTCAGGCCCTCCTCGTCATCGACCACCAAGTCGGCCTCGCCCAACTCGTGCGTGATTTCAACACAAACGACTTCCGCAACAACATCCTTGGCCATGCTGCCCTTGGCAACGTCTTCAACCTTCCAACCGTGCTAACCAGCTCTTCGGACGCAGGCCCTAACGGCCTCATGCTCAAGGAAATCATCGAAATGCACCCCAACGCGACCTTCGTCCGTCGCCAGGGTGAGGTCAATGCCTGGGATAATGCGGAATTCCGCGCTGCGGTCAAGGCTACGGGAAAGAAGCAGTTGATTATTGCGGGCATTGTTACTGAAGTTTGTAAGTGGAGGGGAAAGGAAAAAGCAAGGAAAGTAGAATAGATACTGATAGTCAAACCAGGCACCTCATTCCTCGCCCTGTCCCTTGTTGATGCTGGCTACGAAGTCTTCGCCAATACCGATGCTAGTGGTACTTTCGATGTCAAGCTTGCCGAGGATGCGAATCGTCGTATGGAGAGAGCTGGTGTTACACTCATGGGTTTGTTCGGTATTGTTTGTGATCTTATGCGCGATTGGCGTAAGACTCCTGGTCTCAACGAGGTTCTGCCTTTCCTTGATAAGTAAGTTACTATCTGTTCTTAGTTTCTTCTGCTGTGTCGTGATTTCTAATCTTTTTGTTTGTCTGTAGGTACCAGTTTGCTTATGGCCTTGTTGCCCGTCACCACGCTGGATCTATTCAGAATGGTACCTTTGTTCCTGTAGAGGGAACTTTGATTTAAGCCTGTTCATGGAGATTTGATTGGTCGGGGTTGGAGAAGTGCAGAGGTACAGGGGTTGAGAGGTGGAAAGTAAGAAGGCGAGAAGGTGGAGGTAGAGAAACGGAGAAGGGGAGGAAATCGAGGGATAGAAAATAAGATGTGATGTTGACTATAATGGTGATTGGATATAGCTTTCCTGTGAAGATAGTGCGTTGAATCCAATTATCAGACAAAGACCAATGTCACTGGCAAGTCGTCTTGGGGTTAGCTCAAGCTTTGTCAGTATGTTGAGGTCCAGTTTTGCATCCAGCTAAGAACTCGAAACATAGAAAATGCAAACTGAAACAATTCATCTGAATCTGATACGTGTGCTTGTAAGTATATACAGTAAAAGAAAAAGGCTATGAACAAGTACTTGGGCATGGGTATCGGCAATGCAATATTTGCAAGGAAGATATAAAGAATAGGCAAGTGACCAAAGGACATGGCGACAAGTGCCCTAAAGTTTGCGCGAGCTCTAGATCTGGTCTAGAGCCATACACATACAACCCAGATAGAGTGATATGCGATGTAGAGTGAATAGGTATGACGTGGGTGGGGGCGTTCAAGGAGTAAGACGAGAAAACAACGTATGTGAGATCCGGCGTGGACAACGAAAAAAAAAGCAACACAATCACAAATAGAATATACCCGCTTCAAATAATGCTCGCAATCGTCATGCGTGAATGCGCCGAACTGGCCGAACCAGCAGATCCAGGCGCAAGAGTAGAAGACGAAGCAGAAGCCTCCAGCTTCGGCTGTCCGTAAGCCACCTGTTGCTGTTGTTGCTGATGCTGCTCGGTAAAAAGGTCTTGTACAGTCTTCTCAATCCACTCCCACCCCTCCCACTCCGAATCCATCTCCATCTCCGTCCGATGGCTCGAAGATTTCGGCGTCGAGTTCCCCATCCCCTCCAATTGGGACCCCGTCTCGGATCCATGCCACACCCAGCTTCCGTCGCTTGTTCCTTGCATATCGCCCGAGACATACGCCATCATTTCCTCGTCGTGGTCGAGATC